CCCCCCCCACGGCCCCCCTGGACGCCGGACGGCCCCCCCCCCCAGCCCTCCGGACGGAACCCCCTGGACGGCCCGCCGCGCCGCCCCCAGGAACCAGAAGTCCGGCCAGAGGGACGGAGAAGAGCTTCCAACCGGGACAAAGCCCGCGGGGGGTGTGGGGTGAGGAGCTGGGCAGGGAGGGGAGTCCCCGGCCCGCCCGCCTAGCGAAGGGGTCCGGGCCCCCAAGTCTCTCAGCCTCAGGACGGGGCGGCCCCCAGCCCCGCGTCTCCTCACTTTCTTCTCGCGGGCCTTCCTCTCTTCCCTCCGCCTCTCGAACTCCTCGAAGGAGATCTTCCCCTCCAGGTAGTCGATGAGCTCGGGGCTGAACCCCGACATGTCGGCCAGGCCCGGCAGGCGGCCCCGGAGCCGGAGAGAACCCAACGGGCAGCGCCTCCCCGCCCGACCCCGCGCCGGGAGCCGGGAGCCGGGAGCCGGGAGCCGGGACGCGGCGTCCGACCGGGAAACGGGCCCGGCCCGCGCCGCAGCCGCCGAGCTCGGGTTCCGGCGAGCGCTTGGCCCCCCTCCTTCCGGACGGCGCCGGCGGACCTTCCCTTCCGGCGGGCTTTTCCGGAGGACCTTCCGGCGGGACCCTCCTTGCTCCCCGCCCTCACCTGCGCCTGGTTCAAGTCTCCCGCTTATTATTAGGTGATGGTGGGGGGGGGCTTGCGGGGGGACAACAAACAGGGCCTTAAAGAGATCTCTCTCACTGGATCATTTCCCGCAATCCTGCATCGAGATGCTCCCAGCCGCCCTGGCCGGTGTGGCTCAGTGGATAGAGCGTCGGCCTGCGGACGGAAGGGTCCCGGGTTCGAATCCGATCAAGGGCGTGTACCTGGGTAGCGGGCGCATCCCCAGTAGGGGGCGTGCAGGAGGCGGCTGATCGATGTTTCTGACTATCCCTCTCCCTCTCTGTAAAAAAATCAACAAAAATATTTTTAAAAATTAAAAAAAGGTAAACCCCTTAAAAAAAAGAAAAGAAAAAAGATGCTCCCAATCTATTTCCTCTTCTGAATGTTTGTTTAATTTGATCTTCGCTGTAGCGGGAAGCTAAACCCTCGGGTTTAGTGTCAATCCGGTCTTCCCCCTCCGATGGGCGGCACAGGGCCGCGCCCTCTTGCACAGACCCTCCCACCTGCATGTGGGCTCCGTCCGCTCCAGCCCTACCCCGCCCCGGGCTCCTGGCAGTCCCACGCGTGGTGCATGCCCAGGCACTGAGGCCCCGTCCTGCAGGCCGCCTGCAGGGCACGCACATCCTCGGAAAATGATTCCTAAACACGGACGCCGTTAGCCCAGGCACTGAGGCCCCGTCCTGCAGGCCGCCTGCAGGGCACGCACATCCTCGGAAAATGATTCCTAAACACGGAGGCCCTTAGCCCAGGCACTGAGGCCCCGTCCTGCAGGCCGCCTGCAGGGCACGCACATCCTCGGAAAATGATTCCTAAACACGGACGCCGTTAGCCCAGGCACTGAGGCCCCGTCCTGCAGGCCGCCTGCAGGGCACGCACATCCTCGGAAAATGATTCCTAAACACGGAGGCCCTTAGCCCAGGCACTGAGGCCCCGTCCTGCAGGCCGCCTGCAGGGCACGCACATCCTCGGAAAATGATTCCTAAACACGGACGCCGTTAGCCCAGCGCCAGAGGCCCGCGGCGGGTCAGGAGCGGGGCCAGGGCTTGGAGCCCGGTCTGTCTGACTCCAGCCCCACGCTTGGGATTAGAGGATGGGCTGCCTCCTCCTCAGACGGAACTGGCCTTCACCTCCTGCCGCTCCTTGGGCGTGGACTGCACCCCTTCTGGTGCGGAATCCTCGGGGACTGAGCTGGGCGTGAAGGATGGGAGCTCGCAGGGAAGGCTGCGTTAAGGCAGCCCAGTCACTGACCCGGGATTCAGGCCTGGCTTTCTCCAGGCGCCAGGGAACCGCACCCAGCGCAAGTCAGAAGCCTCCAGCCCCAACTGTCGGGGAAGAGGAGAAGGCATCAGAGGAGGACCGATGGCACCTGGTGAGCAGAGTGCTCTCCGGAGGTCAAGCGGGCCTAGCCCGGCTTGTGTGTTATCGGCTGCCTGGGGTATGGGGGCAACAGTTGCGAAGCTATAGATTCACGTTGTGGGGACTCGGGAGCGGGGAGCAAGGCGTGCAAGGATAGTCTTTCTGCCACAAAACGCCTGTATGACGTGAATCTGTTTTCCTTCCTCCACTTCCCTGTGGCGTGTCCCCTGGCGAGTCAGAGGGCACCCACAGTGCCTTGGATAAAGGGGAATGCCTATGGCAGCAATGAAAATAGCAAGAAAAAACTTTTTAGACTTGCAGACTCAATTTTTGAGAGTCAAATGGAAATTCGGAAGAAAGCAGACAACTGAATTTGTGCCACGACAACAGGGAGTACAGGGAGGGGATGACTCCTTCCTTTCTCCTTGTCAAGGCGCGGGGGAGGAGGAGGGGGCGCAGAATGGGGTGTGACCCTTCTGGGGAGACGATTTTTCCATGGCTCTTGCACTTTTCTGTGAAAGCTGTGACAGTTCTCATGCTGGGCTAGCTTTTCAGGGGTATTTGTTGCAAACACCCTTGAAAGAGAGAGACATTGACTCCCTCTGGGGCAGAGGGCAAGTTTGTTTTCCAACCTGTATAACAAAAACAAGGTCTCTCCCGGGCAAAGGTTGAGCTGTTTTGCTGGTGGCCTCCTTATAAGAGTGGGGGTTTCCTGAGTGTGGAGTTCCTCCGCTGTGCACAAACCCACTTGTGCATCCACCTGGAGCCAGCGCCAGGGCCCAGATACCTGAGAGAGAAGGAGAACCAAGGGGAACAGGAACCTCACGCTGCCTGCTACCCCAGAAGTCTCAGGTGTCTGCCAACATCTGTGAAACTGCAGCGGGGTAGCATGTAGCTTGCAAGTAAAGTAAAACCTCACACCCTTAGCAGTTCTTAACCTCCCTAGACCTGGGATAGGGGACAGCAGGCCATGTCCTAGGGATGGGGAGCAGGGTGCTCATCGAAGAGGATCAGAGACGGTGTTGAGAGACGGTCAAGGACCCCTGGAGGGCCGCGATCACCTGCAGAACATTCATTTCCATTGGCGGGAACACTACACGTCTGCTGTTTTCCTAGCAATGGCTCTCAGGCAAGAGCGAGATCACTCCCCCAGTGGGCTTTTATTTTATCTTATTTTTAATACATTTGTATTGATTTCAGAGAGGAAGGGAGAGGGAGAGAGAGAGAGATAGAAACATCAACGATGAGAGAGAATCACTGATCGGCCGCCTCCTGCACGCCCCCTATTGGGGATCAAGCCGGTAACCATGTGCCTTGACGGGGAGTTGAACCGTGACCTCCTGGTTCATAGGTCGATGCTCAACCACTGAGCCACGCCGGCCGGGCCCCCAGTGGGCTTTAAGAATGTGTAGGGAGGTGTTGGTTGTCAACATAATAGGGCAGCCATGGGGAGACCACTAACCTAGTGTCTGGGACCAGGTGTGCTAACTGGTCACACTCAGTGAAGGCCCGACCTCCCCCACTACCAGCAGCATCACCATTAAGACACCCCAGTCCGTGAGGAGAGCAGGCCTTTCACCATCCGCCACCTGCCGATTGTGAGGAATTTTCCAAAGGAGGCCACCCCTGCCCTGAGACATGGCAAGCTCGTAGTGGAAAGACCCACGTGGATGCTCTTCCTTTTCAAAGGCCTTAAGCTGAGGAGCTTCCCTGTGTGGGGGTCACGACACCCCAAGCAGGGGTGGCGAGAGGAGAGGGGAAAGCAGCCACGCATACCTGGGTAGAGCTGGACGGGGTGGGACGCTCCCTGCCACTCCACCATGGATCTGAACAGGCTAACAATTTATGCTCATCCACGATTACTTCTATATTCTAAGTGGAAAAAATATTCTCGGCATTAACTAGAACCAGCTTCCGTTACTGTGTGGACAGTAGCAGAAGAGCACACATTTATTTCACCTCAACCAGTATTTCTTGAACGCTGGCTACATGCTTGGCACTGTGCTAGGTACTGGAGATGTCAAACGGGGAAAACAGACACACACACACACACACATACACACACACACACACACAGCTCATTGCAACAGAGCATGCTCACCCAGACACGGGGTCTGCTCTTGCATAAATGCTCCCCGTGGAATTCAGTATCAGTCATCATGCACAGAAACGACCTTGGAATGTACAGACTCATGTTAGCAGGACACCGATGTTTGCTTCTAGTACCAGGTTCCTCTTGCAGGAACCACAGAGGAAACGATGCAGCTCTCCATACAGGTACAGGAAAGGGAGTGACTCCCAGTGAGAATCTGAGAATCAGCATAACCTGCCCAAGTGGGAGGAGAGGAGAGGCTTGCTTGTCACCCACACCAGTTTTTACACCCCCCTACCTCCTTTTTTAAATTGGTTCACAAGACAGAACAGGTTTCAAGTGTACAACTCAATAAAACATCATCTGCCCATGACATGGTGCGCCCATCACTCCAAGCAGACTCTTTCTCTCTACCGCCCCCCTTTGCCCACATCCACCTACCCCACCCCCGTCCCTCCGGCCTTCTGCCCTCCCTCTTGAGGGGGTGTGTGTGGGAGAGGCAGAGGCAGGCTAGGATACTTGGTGCAGCACAACATCCACCCGCTGAGCACAGTGGCAGAGAGCCTCTCCCAGGGACCCCAGCAATTCTAGAATCCCATGATCCTTTGCTTTCTATTTCAACTTAACTGTGGATATTTATCACTGATCCTCCTGGGTATGAAACTAGGACTGGGAGTTCTTTCAACAGCATGTGCTGAACGTGCGAGTGTGTCTTCCTCCCAGAAAAAAGACCAATTTTAAACCCAAATCCCTAGTACATATAATGAACTAAAGTAAAAACGAGCAACATCCCTTTCTAATGAAAGTCTTGATTGTTAAAAGCGATATATACACATATAAGACAAGCTCAAAAGAAACTTAATTTAGTCATTTCTCCTGACTTGAGGGTGCTTTGATAACTTGCAATTATATGCGGGGCTCTACATTGACATTTATGGTTCTAAAGTGGAAAAAACAGCAAAGTATCACATAAGTCACAGAGGTCCCAAAGGTCAGGCTGTTTATATGTAAATCTGGAAATACAGAATAAAACCATTACAAACTGACAAAAGTGGGGGCAGGGAAGGGGGTTAACAATGACCATGATTGACTTTTTCTGATGAGCAGCTTCATCTGTGGTGTAAAAATAGCCAGATACCTGCAAGAACAAGAAAATGCTCTAATGAAACAGAAAATGAAGTCGGTACCATTAGCACAAAGACTCAAAGATCAGCATCTTCCAGCAAAAACTCTTTTCGTCCTCACTTTCTAATCAGCTGCCAGGAAAGGCGAGCTGATGATGGAGTCTTCTCTGACCCAGACGCTTTGCTTCTTCCCCCACCATCATGCGAGTCCCATTATGTCACCATCGCACCCAGTAGGTGCTTTCTCCGGGTCCGCCCCCAAACAGCACCTCACTCCACGCTCACAGAAAGTGTGTCTTTGACATTTTATTTGACACGGTCTGTGAGCTAGAGGGTAGCACCTGCAGTTTATAGGTGGAGACTGTGAGGCTTAAAGCAAACTGCATGCACTACTGTCTTCTACCGGAGGAGGCGCTGTGCATTAATAACTGTCCTGTTTTAGCAGTGGTTGGTCGCCAACCTTTGGGACCTCAGGGACGATCAGTGGTCCGCGGACCACCGGTTAGCGACCGCTGGCCTAGGGCCCACGTGTGAGAAACAGTTAAGGGGACGCCTCTTAACCTCTTTCTGTTTATTCTATTTTATTTTCTCACGCAGGAGAGGTTTCAAGTGCATATACCACATGGTAAGTTGCATCTTCTTTTCAAAATAACATCATTATTTTTTTTTAAATCATCACATTTACAAGAATCGATAAGCAAAATCCTTTCACATGCACAATAAAATGCAACGGCGGCACGCTTCCTCACAGTTTCATTCCTACCTGGTGGAAGAAGAGGAGGAGATTTTAATCACGATTTAGTTCCCTTTATTGTAGGGAACGGAATCGTAATTATTCAGCCGAACAAAAGGCTAATAGACTAGAATCATAATGTAGCTCCCTGGAATGCACCATACCTATTTTTTTAAATGATGGGTACTCATTTGGTAGGAATGCTACAGTAACAAGAATAATAAAATTCAAATATTAAACATAATATACTTCTAACCTTTTTCCTATGAGAAAAAAAATCATCTTTAATATTTTACTTTACTTCCTCTAGGTGAGGATGTTCAAGATCAAATATATGCTTATTACTTTCTTCTAAAAGGAACTATTTTTAAACTTTACTTTCTATTTAATCCAACTGCACAATTTCACATATTTCTTTATGATTTTCCACACAACTCAGCTATCTGCCCGGGTCTGGGGGAAAAAGGATACAGGCAAAGTGAGTGGTATTCCACTAGATGTAACCATCCTGTTAAGAGTGATAGTCCTATCATTTTACTATATCTCTTCCCACAAAACTATGCTTAAAATGTCATAACTGTCATTCCTCCTTAAAACAGACATGAAATACTGAACCACATCCAAATAGTACCAGAGATGAGTAGCTTCTAAGCTACTAGCAAGCACGTATTTCTGCGGGGAAATAAAATCATTTTTCAAATAACTGCTTTCCAAACCTCTTCACGAGCGAGCCGTCTGTCTGGGAGGAAGGGAGCCTCTCACCTGCTCTCAGGAGAAGCCGTCAGCCTTGGAGGCCGCGGGGAAAGGGGTTTCTCCGCTCTTGGAACTCGGCAAAGGCAGAGGCGATGAGCTCTGACTGCACAGAGAGGGGTCTGGGGGTCTCATTTGTGGAGAGAGTATTTGGAAACCTTTCAAGGTCAAGACCTCTTCCCTTAAAATACGCCTGAAGGGTTCTGAAAAACTGGACAGAGAAAGAAAATGTTCCGTTGCCACATATAAATTAAACACCCAAAAGACTCACAGGTGAATATTTCCCCCTGAATTGATTGGGGAGCTCACCTAGGAGGCAGGAGGTGGGAACTCAGGAGTAGAAGTACAAGCTTTGGCCACTTCTTCCCGCCCCCGCCCCAGGCCCCACCCCGGCCCCCACCCGCCCCCTCTCTGACATTTCAGCCCCACACAAGCTCACTCGCCACCGTTCTTGGTGGAAATCCCGCGAGGAACAGCAATTACTTAACAGCACCAGCCAGAGGGGCCTTGTGAGCCATCTCTGCATACCAAGGTCATAGGTCATATTGAATCCATGGCCTGATGCCTCCTCTCTGACTGAAAACAAGACCCCGGTCATCGTCTTCGGAAATCATTTTTGTCCAACATGGACTTTTCAGCTTTCCTTCAGGACGTGGATCAATGCAGAGAAGCTGTGCACAGCGCCATTTGCTTGTTTTAATCCTGTGTTGTTATATTTCACATCGGTGTGCACAGAAGACCACTTACACAGGCATGTGCTCTGTGTGCTCACAGAAGCAGGTGTAGATCGGCTGCAGGAGCAACGGGAGGCCAGCTGCCAGGCCAGCAGAGCGCTGGTCTGGGCCCGGGGGGGCCTCCTCCTAGTCCGGGGGCCTCCTCCCAGCCCGGGCAGCCTTCTGTGCACTGCTCTGGCAGAGTTCAGCGCACACAGATCCCGAGACACAGCCAGCACACCGCAGCCCAGCACGGCCGGCGCGTGCTTACCAGGTCTCGGTTCCTGGGGTTGCTGAGTGGCTTCCATGTGTCTTGGTTTCTCAGTTTGGCTCCATGCACAGGCCCGAGGAGCACCAGGGCCGCACACAGCAGCAGGAACGCTTTGGGCATGGTGGACTGCGGCTGAGTGAGAGGAAGGATGAGGGGAAATGCAATGGTCACACTGAGGGAGGGAGGGAGGGAGGGAGAGAGAGAGGGAAGGAAGGAGCAAGAGAGAGAGAACAAATGCAGAATAAAAAAAGAGCCATTTTAAAAGGGAGACAAGGAAGAAGAAGTAGCATCCTGGTCCACCTGAATTGTACGGCCCTCTTCTTCTCCAGATTCATTTGCAAATAAGATTTCCAAATCCAGTTGATGAGCTTAGGGGGGTCCACAAAAGTTAGAACATTGTACAATGATAAGCAAAGTGATGATGAGCACAACCTCCCAAGTCTGAGCAGACCATTTTATCTTTTTAAAAAATGCACCTTGTTATCTCCCCAAAAAAGTGAAATCTTACACAACAAACAAAAAAGCACCCCAAACCCATCTTAAAAACCCCAAAACTGAGCAATGCACTTTCCACACAGCAGGTTCACACCACACCAGGTAAGTAAAGCTGGTCTCCCACCCCGAGGTGGGCAGTGGAAAGGAACCCCAGAGAAAGGGCTCAGACAGCTTACCGGGAGTCCGGCTCGGCTGGCCTGGTTGCTTACGCCGCCTACAGCCCACGGGGGAGCGTGGCTGCTTATAACCAGGGTTGGCTGAAGGTGGGGGTCACTGACGTGAGCAAGGGGAGTTCAAACACAACGAGTCCATTTTCATCCACAGCACAAACACCCTTGAGAACCACATCTTCAAACTTCTTCAGGGATAAACAACTTGTCTTATAAATAGAACCACCACTGGCCATTTTGCGTGGCTTTTATAACACAGGGCACTTCCAAACAGCCAAGTGGCCTCTGCCTTTTATACTTGCAAGAGAAGGTGTATCATCCTGGGAATATGACGATGACTAGCCCACGTAATAGGATGCTCTTCTGCAGATAGCAGCTTTGGAAATTGAGAGCATTTTTTTCTTTACACAGAAAATTCTAGTGCAAGGGACAAAATTGCTCTTCATGAATGACACCTCATATCTCTTCTGAGAACCTCAGGAATCTTTACATGTTTTAAACAGTGGCCTGGTTTCTCATAATACCCCCCTCAAAATAGACTACAAGAGAGCACGTGTAGCATGGGGAGAAAGAAAAATGACCATACTTACAGCACTGTCCTGCTGAATAAACGTAATCATAGGAAAGGCGAGGGCTGAGAAATTGGACGTGACGGGCTGGGAAGTTGCTCGGTCCCCGTGATGCAGGGCATCCCGGACAAGCTCCTTGCTGAGAAGGCTGGTGATCTGAGCTGAAAACCAGAGTTCCTGGCTATTTCTCATCTTGACCTTGGGCAAGTCTCTATGACCTTCATTTGTTTACGTCTTTGTTCATTCGTTCAACAAATTTTTATCGCACACCCCAAGGCTTTGAGGATAAAATGATAAGAATAATAAACATAGGTACGGCCCTCATGGAACTGGCATGTTAGTGGGCAAGACAGACATGAGCCACATCATTATTTAACAAAATACAAAGGACGCTGATTTCTACGAGGAGGAACTGGGTGCTGTGAGAGTGGAACGGGGAGACCTGGTTCCGTCTCGAGGGTCAGGGAAGGCCGCCGAGATGAAGTGACCTGGCATCTGGCAGCAGCAGTTACCTAGGCAACAGGGGGTGCACAGAGGGAGAAGAGCGTCACACAAGGTGAACAGCTGCGCTGGAGCCTGAGGCTGAACGTGAGTGAGGCCCTGGCCAGGTGGCTCCATTGGTTGGAGTGTCCTCACCAGGAGGGTGGCTTCTATTCCCAGAAAGTCAGTGAGGAAGCGGGGAGCAGAGGGCGCCAGGTGTGGTCAGTTCAAGCCGGAGCTAAGAGGTAGGCAGAGTGTGATTTGTCTGCTGCAGGCCATGGCAAGTCATTGAAAGGTTTCAGCAGCCAAGTTGCTTGATGAGACTTGCATTTTCCAAAGGTCATTGTGGTTGCAGTGGGGGAGAGAGAGGAGGTAGAGAAGGGGGACCAGGCAGGATGAGGTGTTAAACTGGATGAGGAGGGGAGCATGGATGCAGAGATGTGGGTGGGCCTGAGAGAGAGAAGAAGGTGTTGCTAATGTACTGGGCACTAGAGGAGGCAGAACTAAGAGGAAGAGAGTGTCAAAACCACCTCTCGGTCTCAGGATCAGTGAACTCAGCCCCACTCCCTGAGACAGCAAACACGGGCCTGGGTGGGTGAAGGTCATGAGCTCCCTCCGGACGGGTGTGTTGTATTTGAGGAACCACGTGGAGATGGAGATACACAGTTGGATACACAGCCTGGAGCTCAAAGGGGAGGTCTGGGAAGGAAATGTCAATATGGGAGTTATTGGCATATAAATGGATAAGATTTCTTCAACAAAAGTTAGAAAATGAGAAGAAAAGGTGGTCTAGGGCTTGAGCTTTGAGAAGTGTTAGCAGGTCACAGCCATCTGTAGGGATCTCTGCGAGGGAGACCCTGGAGGCAGAGGAAAACCAGGAGACTGACAGCAAGGGAAGCAAGTGTGTCGAGAAGGAGAAGATGGAGTAAAAAGAGGACTCGGAAGGTCCCGGAGCATCAGACTGCTGTGGTGGATGGAGGGAAAAGTCAGATTAGAAGTGAGTGGATGGACAAGAGAGAGAGACAACGAGTACATCAAGCTCCCGAGTTCAGCCGTGGGGAGACGGTGGGAGAAGGTCAGCCGCGGAGAGAGACGGTGGGAGACGGTCAGCTGTGGGGAGACAGTGGGAGACGGTCAGCCGTGGAGAGACGGTGGGAGAAGGTCAGCCGTGGAGAGAGACGGTGGGAGGTCAGCCGTGGAGAGAGATGGTGGGAGACGGTCAGCTGTGGGGAGACAGTGGGAGGCCAGCCGTGGAGAGACGGTGGGAGAAGGTCAGCCGTGGAGAGAGATGGTGGGAGAAGGTCAGCTGTGGGGAGACAGTGGGAGGTCAGCCGTGGAGAGACGGTGGGAGGTCAGCCGTGGAGAGAGACGGTGGGAGGTCAGCCGTGGAGAGAGATGGTGGGAGACGGTCAGCTGTGGGGAGACAGTGGGAGGTCAGCCGTGGAGAGACGGTGGGAGAAGGTCAGCCGTGGAGAGAGATGGTGGGAGACGGTCAGCTGTGGGGAGACAGCGGGAGGTCAGCCGTGGAGAGACGGTGGGAGAAGGTCAGCCGTAGGGAGACGGTGGGAGAAGGTCAGCCGTGGAGAGAGATGGTGAGAGAAGGTCAGCCGTGGAGAGAGACGGTGGGAGAAGGTCAGCCGTAGGGAGACGGTCGGAGAAGGTCAGCCGTGGAGAGAGATGGTGAGAGAAGGTCAGCCGTGGAGAGAGACGGTGGGAGAAGGTCAGCCGTAGGGAGACGGTGGGAGAAGGTCAGCCGTGGAGAGAGATGGTGAGAGGTCAGCCGTGGAGAGAGATGGTGAGAGAAGGTCAGCCGTGGAGAGAGATGGTGGGAGAAGGTCAGCCCTGGAGAGATGGTGGGAGAAGGTCAGCCGTAGGGAGACGGTGGGAGAAGGTCAGCCGTGGGGGGAGACGGTGGGAGAAGGTCAGCCGTGGAGAGAGACGGTGGGAGAAGGTCAGCCGTGGGGAGAGACGGTGGGAGAAGGTCAGCCCTGGAGAGACGGTGGGAGAAGGTCAGCCGTGGATAGAGATGGTGGGAAAAGGTCAGCTGTGGGGAGAGACGGTGGGAGAAGGTCAGCCGTGGAGAGACGGGGGGAGAGAGATGGCAGTAACCAGAGGGGAAATGGAGTCCAGGGAAGGTGCTGTTGTCATTGTTTTTAACGGGAGAGACTTGAGTTTAAATGTCAGTGATTACGTGAGTAAATGAGTATCCTAGAATTTCATTATATCATCTGTCCTGAAAACCCCAGGGCTTTGAAGTTAAAACAACTAATGATACTGAAGTATTAAGTTATTAATGAGATTATAGCCAAGTCACAACACTGTGAGTCCTTAGACCAGGGGTGGGCAACCTTTTTGTGAGTGCGTGCCCAAACCAGCAAAATCTCTGACTCAAAATTCTTCTGTGTGCCTACCCTAATTTTTTGAGATCATGTTACACCTACTTGATATCTCTTAAGGTGTACGTATGTGAAGAACCTTGAAGAAATAATAAAATTCATTCTAGCGACAAAAACACAGTATATGATGATGAAAAATACATTTATTTTTTAATGTATACATGTATACTGATAGTCCAACAGAAAACTTCATGACTCCGTTTGATATTAACAGTGGGACTTTTCTGCTGCATCACTGATGACAGAGATTTTACAGCAGGTTTATATTTCGTGACCTTCAGAGATATGCACGAGCTACTACTTTCATCAATCAGGCTACTCCTATTACGAGACTTAACAAAATTCATCACTGAGAACAAAGATTCACAAGCGTATGTGGATGAAAACATGGAGAGTAACGCTGTTGCAAAGTTTTTTAAACAGAAAAAATTTTCTGGAATGGCATTCCAAGTCCTCAATAGTTCGTTTTCGACACTTCTCTCTGGTACTCCTGTCTCTAATTGCTTTTTTTCAATGTTTTCCAAGTCAACTCTAAGGTCAATAAATTTCTGTTTCCAAATTGAGCTACTCTAAAATTCAATCAACTGCATTTCAAAGTCAGCCATGTCTATCCATGAAAGCATTTGTAAGTTCAGTTCCTCCAGTTTCATGCTGTCTGGAAACCTCATGAATTTTGCCGTCTCTTCCAGTTCTCTGAATTTCGCAAATCTTGAGAAGAACTGCTCAATAGTTGACTCAATGATGTTTAAAAACAGCTTTTGAAGGCTTTGACAGTCTGTTCTGTCATCTTTTGGGAGGTCTTTGATGTGCCTCTTGAGGTTTGGGAAATATCTAAATCTCTCACCATCCACATCCCTCTTAAAGACTTCCAGTTTCTTTTTAAAAGCCTTATACTCTGGTTTCTCTTCAGATTGCATAAATCTTTCGCCTTTTAAAAGCCTTTATGTAACCAAACATAACATCAAGTGTCTTGCCAGTTCCTTGTAATTTAACATTTAAGTCATTCAAATGTTCACAAAAATTGTAAATGGAAGATTATAAGAGAGGGTTTCGTGTGCCAGCAAAAGTTACTGGCATGCCATGTTTGACACGCATGCCAGGGGTTGCCCACCCTTGCCTTAGACCATGCTCCCTCCTCACATTCCCAGTGAAAGGAGAGGAGAGGAAGAATCCTTTCCAAGTAAAAAGCAGACCTCCTCACCCTGGCTGGTGTTGCTCAGTGGTTACAGTACTGGCCTGCGCACTGAAGGGTTGCATGTTCAATTCCTGGTCAAGGACACCTACCTGGGCTGCAAGTTCATTCCCCTGGCCAGGGTCAGGGCACATGTGGGAGGCAACCAATTGATGTGTCTTTCTCACATCGATGTTTCTCTCTCTCTTCCCCTCCCTCCCTCCCTTCCACTCTCTAAAAATCAGTGGAACAATATCCTTGGATTAAAAAAAAAAAAGCAGACCTCCTCTTGTTCCTCCCTTCTGGAATGGAAATATCAGGCAGCCACCACTATGCTATGAGAGATGCACTGTGGGTGGAGAACTAATGAGAGGAGAACTTGGGTTCTTGATGACTTCATGGAGTCCTGTTCGGGACTATTTCACTGGTTAAGGAACTGTTGTCAGGTTTCCTATTTCATGCAAATAAGTCCTAACTAAACAGCCTGTATAGGGAGATCAGTGCCTTTGAAAAACAGAAGAGAAGGTGGGAAAAGTAGGTCAAACAGTCAAGAAGTTTTAACTCTCTATATCCTATATAGAACACTAGAGGCCCGGTGCACAAGATTTGTGCACTGGGGTGGCCCTCAGCCCAGCCTGTGCCCTCTCACAGTCTGGGAGCCATCAGTCGGACATCCTTAGCACTGCTGCAGAGGAGAGAGAGGCTCCTGCCACTGCCGCTGCATTTGCCAGCTGTGAGCCTGGCTTCTGGGCTTCTGGCTGAGTAGAACTACCCTTGTGGGAACGTACTAACCACCAGGGGCCAGCTCCTGCATTGGGCGTTTGCCCCTGGTGGTCAATGTGCATCATAGCAACCGGTCATTCTGTCGTTTGGTCAATTTGCATATTACCCTGAACTAAAGGCCCGGTGCACAAAAATTTGTGCACTCGGGGGGGGGGGGCATCCCTCAGCCTGGCCTATGCACTCTTGCAGTCTGGGACCCCTCAGAGGATGTCCACCTGATGGCTTAGGCCCGCTCCCTGGGGGATCGGGCCCAAGCTGGCAGTCAGACATCACTCTGGCAGCCTGGCAGCCCTTGGGGGATGTCCACTTGCCAGTGGGGAGCAGGCCTAAGCTGCAGTCGGACATCCTTAGCGCTGCTGAGGAGGCGGGAGAGGCTCCCACCACCACCGCTGTACTGGCAGCCGTCAGCCTGGCTTGTGGCTGAGCAGAGCTCCCTCACTGACCACCAGGGGGCAGCTCCTGCACTGAGTGTCTGCCTCCTGGTGGTCAGTCTGTGTCATAGTGACCAGTCATTCCCAGTCGTTCTGCTGTTAGGGTCAATTTGCATATTACCCTTTTATTATATAGGATAGAGGCCTGGTGCATGGGTGGGGGCCGGCTGGTTTGCCCTGAAGGGTGCCCCAGATCAGGGTTGGGGTCCCGCTGGGGTGCCTGGCCAGACTGGGTGACGGGCTGAGGGCTGTTTGCAGGCTGGCCACACCCCCTTCAGGGTGGGAGTCCCTGCGGGGGTGCCTGGGTGAGGGGCTGATGGCTGTTTGCAATCTGGCCACAGCCCCCAGCCACTCAAGGCTGGCTGGAAGCAGGTATCTGGGATTTATTTATCTTCTATAATTGAAACTTTGTTGTCTTGAGCAGAGCCCACAGCCAGCCAGGGCAGGCGGGAAGCTTGGCTTCCTCCATTGCCAGGGAAACCAAGCCTCCTGCTTGCTCCAGCTCCATGGCTGCCGGACGCCATCTTGGTTGGGTTAATTTGCATATAATAGTTCTGATTGGCTGGTGGGCATGGCTTGTGGACGTGGCTTGTGAGTGTAGCGGAGGTACGGACAATTTGCATGTTTCTCTTTTATTATTTAAGATTCCCAATTTTACAGCAACTCCAAAAAGGATGTCCTCCTTGTCTCATCCACTTCCCCACTATCCTGCATATTGTATTCCCGTTAATCTCTTTTAAACAGCATTTTAGTATTATTACTCTTGCTTCCAAAATTTTTCATCTTCCCCCATCTACACTAATAAAAGACAAACATGCAAATTAAAAGAGATTAATGGGAATACAATATGCAGGATAGTGGGGAAGTGGATGAGACAAGGAGGACATCCTTTTTGGAGTTGCTGTAAAATTGGGAATCTTAAATAATAAAAGAGAAACATGCAAATTGTCCGTACCTCCGCTACACTCACAAGCCACGTCCACAAGCCATGCCCACCAGCCAATCAGAACTATTATATGCAAATTAACCCAACCAAGATGGCGTCCGGCAGCCATGGAGCTGGAGCAAGCAGGAGGCTTGGTTTCCCCGGCAATGGAGGAAGCCAAGCTTCCCGCCTGCCCTGGCTGGCTGTGGGCTCTGCTCAAGACAACAAAGTTTCAATTATAGAAGATAAATAAATCCCAGATACCTGCTTCCAGCCAGCCTTGAGTGGCTGGGGGCTGTGGCCAGATTGCAAACAGCCATCAGCCCCTCACCCAGGCACCCCCGCAGGGACCCCCACCCTGAAGGGGCTGTGGCCAGCCTGAAAATGGCCCTCAGCCCCTCACCCAGTCTGGCCAGGCACCCCAGCGGGACCCAACCCTGATCTGGGGCACCCTTCAGGGCAAACCAGCCGGCCCCCACCCATGCACCAGGCCTCTATCCTATATAATAAAAGGGTAATATGCAAATTGACCCTAACAGCAGAACGACTGGGAATGACTGGTCACTATGACACAGACTGACCACCAGGAGGCAGACACTCAGTGCAGGAGCTGCCCCCTGGTGGTCAGTGCGCTCTCACAGGGGGAGCTCTGCTCAGCCACAAGCCAGGCTGACGGCTGCCAGTACAGCGGTGGTGGTGGGAGCCTCTCCCGCCTCCTCAGCAGCCCTAAGGATGTCTAACTGCAGCTTAGTCCTGCTCCCCACTGGCAAGTGGACATCCCCCGAGGGCTCCCAAGCTGCCAGAGGGATGTCTGACTGCCAGCTTAGGCCCAGTCCCCCAGGGAGCGGGCCTAAGCCATCAGGTGGACATCCCCTGAGGGGTCCCAGACTGCGTGAGGGCACTGACCGGGCTGAGGGCCCCCCCCCCCAAGTGCACAAATTTTTGTGCACCGGGCCGCTTGTATGAATAATAATGGGGTAAACTAGGGGGGAGCCAGAAATGCAGCAACAGAAGGGTGACCTTAAAGTGCTACACTCTTTAGGTCTTAGGAACTAATTGAATGTAATGGGCAAGGGAGAAATGAAC